AGCATACAGTTTCAAGTCATAAGATAATTTCCTTAATGGCCATGATACTATTGTGAACCTAATAAAATGAACAGTAATTACTTAATATAAGATACTCAATTTGTACTCAAATTTTTAATTATTTTATTCCAAATGGGGTAAAGAATGGTCAGATCCAGTGAATCTGGTGTGTAAAATGTTTTTTAGTGACTGGAAAATAGTCAAGGAGAATTTGCCCTTCAGCCCTAAGAAGTGAATGATTTGTGGCAAAAATTGGACAACTGATGATTATGGGTGTTTATGAAATGACTGTTGGTGAGCAGGTCAGATAGGACCCCTACCTTCTGAGCATATAGTGATAGATTCCTTTTCTGACTCTCTTTGCTATTATATTCATTGGGTGAGGTGATGTTTCTTGGTGATGACAATTAGCTTATTAGAGTTCTCCAGAGAAACAAAACCAGTAGAGGTCTATATATTTATATCTCTATATATCTATATCTGTCTTGTTAGCTTACTCTAATTCAGGAGGCCATTAGAAGGCACAAGTACATTTATTTAGGTTCAATGAATTACAGTTTGAGGTACTCATTTTACATGCTGACAAGGGACAAAGTTGGAGATTTTTAAGCAAAGAAGAGTGGAGGATGAGCTAAGTGGTTTAGTGAAAAGGAAGAGTTAATTGGTGTTTAAAGAGCTGAAAAGTACGTGGCTACACATAATTGATTACTTATTCTATTTTCTGGCAAAAAGTCCTCAAGCTCTGGATGATTTTTCAAGCAATTGTTTGGTTGATTGTTTCTTAAATCAATTGCATTTTGGCCCAGTCCAAAGATTCTTTGACCCAGTTCAAGTGAGAGAAGTAGTGTACTTTCTTGGTAACAATTGATCGACTCTATTTTTAAAATGACTCCACAGATGTCAACTTTCATGGTCCATTTCTACATACCTATTTATTTATTTAATGAGATTCATTATGGGGAATTGGCTCATTCGATCAATTGGAGAGACTGAGAAGTCTCAGGATCTGCAAGCTGGAGACATGAGTAAGCTACAGTATAATTCAGTTTGAGTCAGAAGCCTAACAACAGATGTGTAAATCTGGGTCGAAGAAGAGATGAGATGTCTCAGCTCAAGCAAGAGCTCATTGTCCCAATAGGCAAGAGAAAGGGGGTTCACTTCCTAATTCCTCATCCTTGTGTTCTATTCAGGCCCTCAGTGTGTATTGGATGATGCATGTTTACTTTGGGGAGAGTAATCTGTTTTACCGAGTCCTTGGTCTCAAATCTTACCCTAAAGCACCCTCACAGACACAGCTGGAAATGTTTAATTTGGTCACCCTATGGCCAATCAAATTGACAAATAAAATTAACCATGAAAATAACTGTTTTTTTGGATTGTGCTAGGAATTCTCAATTGTCTTCCCATTGTGTAATTTTTGTATTTGTTTACTCATATTAAAACCTGCAAAAAATTGTAAAGGAGAGAGACTTCAGGTCACTTGTAAAATTTATTCCCAAGGAAGGATTAAATTAGATTTTAAAGATATGGGACCCTCTCTTCACTGCTGCAAGACTCCAGAGCTACCTTTGTCAATGTATTTTTATGATTTACATCATTCCAACATCTAAGGATGATATATTTACTGCGATCACAAGCAGACAATTCTAGCTTTAGTGATGAACTGGTTTTGAAAAGAAAATTGTGTTTTCTGTGCCAATGTTAACATGTTATATTTAAGAGATGACTTCTCACATCTAAAAAAATGAAGCAGATAAAATCGCTCAGTGATTTTTTCAATGCTCACTATTTATTGAGCTATGAATCAAGTGCATAAATCGTAAGGGTACACAAAGGGATCAAACTACTGTAACCAGCACCCCAAAAGCCCTCTGATAACCTGTTAGTCAGCACTCACCCTCCCAAGGGTGACCAGATGTCATCTGTCAATATTCATTAGCTTTACTTGGCTTTTAGTCCAATATAGATAGAATCATACACATATATTCATCTGTCTAATTTATTTTACTGTTGCTTTAGTTGTAAGATTCATTGTTATTTTCATGTGTAATTAGTGTTAGTTTTTTTTCTTTTTATTGCTGTTGGTTGACTTTTGAGTTATTTTCCGTTTTTCCCCCTCAACAATACTGTTGTGGTCATTAAATTGCTAAAGCATATTTTTTGGTGAGTGGATGTATATCTCTATATACCTCTGCATGTGTGTATTGTAGATGTACTTATGATTGAAATTGCTGAGTTATATCGAAGATATTTCCAAGCAGTTTTCTAAAGTGGTTCACAAGTTGACTCTCCTACCACCAGTGTCAGATTTACTCCCCATTTTTGCCAGCACTTGTTATTTCTTTTGATTATCTTGTGCATGAGGAGTGGTGTTGCATTATAGCTTTATTTTGCATTTCCTCTGGAATTTTTTTTTATGTTATATAGCAACCTGACAATGATTCCAAAGGTCTTTTGGGGACAGAGAGTGAACATGACCAAGTGAACTTACAAGAAGGAAGTAATACAATATTTTATCTTTCATTCATTTGACAAGTATTTGCTGAACATAATTCACTGCCTGCCAGGCAGGCATCAGCCCAGGAACTTGAACACTAAGAAAGACAGGAAAAATTCCTCACCACAAGTGTGCTCTCTACTTACAGCAGTTAAGGTGCGTATGATCTTGCAAGAGTCAGCAGGTTAATTGACAAGGAAAGTCCTGAAGCATTTCCTACTGTAGTGATGACAAGAATGGTCTGTCCATCCTGGCACTCACTCGTGGGAAACAAAACTGTAGATTTCTTCCTTCAAACCCCATTAAAAATAAAGTACCATTTAAAGTTATATATAGATGTGAAATCAAAATGTACTTAAAAAGAAAACTAAGAGAAAATCTGGGTGAATATTTAATTTTGAGATAAGAAAGGATTATTTTCTATACTTAAAGGTAATGGAAGAAACTGTAAAGGAGAAAAAAATCTACAGGCTCAATTATATAAAAATATCAAACCGGAAAAGTATTTGCAACAAACATGATGGACAAAGGGGGGAAAGGGCATGTACACTCACTGCTGGTGGGAGTGTAAATTGGTACAGTCTTTTCTGGAGAGCAGTGTGATAATAAGTATGAAGAGTCTGAAAGTTCCTTCTCCTTTGACTCAACAAATTTTTCTTCCAGGAGTCTAGCCTTTGCAAGTTGCCAGGAATTGAGTCAAATGCTATATATAAAACTGGTTACATTAGTTTTATTTAAAAATACCCCAGAAAGGCTTTATTAAAAAATGTAAATGTCTGTTGGTGGGAAAAAAGCTAAATTTTGTTTTTAAATAAATTATTCACTACTACGAGCAACTATAAGTATATCTCTAAATTATAAGATTGTAATTAACAGTAACATTTTCTTCATACTCGTCTTGCCTCAGTTAGGAAAATCAAAATGTGATTGATTCTTAAATGCTTTCCAAAAGTTTAGTTCAATTCTGACTGAAGAATAGCAAGGTTATTGGGCAATCTTTGAGTTTTTATTTTGTACCATACTAAGAAAATGTTTAAAAAAAAACAATAATGCAAAACTTTTAAGAGCTTCTTGTGTACAGGATATTTTGCTGAGTATATCACATGATTATTCAGTTATTTCTGGCATCAATCTTATGCCCATTTTACAGGGGAGCCAGAGGCCCAGAAAGTCTAGCTGCTTACTTGAGGTCAAACAGGTGGGAAGAAGCAGAGATAACCCAGGCCTGAAGGGATTCCAAAGATGAGTAATTAAACAAGAGCTTCTCCTGCTTTGGAATTAAAATGTAGGAATAAAAAGTGACTTTAAAAAAATAGTTTCAGTAGGACTCAACTCTGGGGTTACAGAGGGAACTGAGAGGCCATCATTATGCAAGTTACTCTCCTGTGCTCCGCCATCACTGGGGCCATCAGATTGGTTTCTGTCACCCCATTAGCCCTTCTTGTAGCTCCCTGTCCCCACCTCCACAGCCCTAAATCACTGTTCCATTCCCAGATTCTGAGGTCCTTTCCTGCTCAATAAGGATACCACATGATCCCCAAATATTTCTCAATATTTCCTAAGATCATGGGCATTCACAGAATAGGAATGTGTGAGCCGGAATGAATCACACCCGCACTCACATGGGGGAACCGTGATGGCATGCATTTAATTTTCACTGGCCATTGCTGCTCTAGGATGGAGAAGATACTAACTGAAGCAACATTTCATATTTGCATCCACAAAATTCCAGAAGAAACCACACAGTTAATATAGTTTGTTTTCCAACTTTACCTGTTTATCAATCTTTCTTGTATCGTTGATGCCCTTGGAGCAGAAATGGGGCCAAAGAATTAGCTTGTTTTCATCTATGACTTCATAATTAATTCTACTTAAAAAAACAAAACAAAACAAAAACAACCAAAAACATAAAACCAAAAACCAATATGCCCTTGTTGAAGGACAAGGCTTAGACTGTATTTCCAAATATCTATCAACCAGAGTCTCTCAGCATCAGCATTATAGATATTGTGAGTTGGATCACTCGGTTGTAAGAACTGTCTTGTTCACTGTGGGACTGTTATTAGCATCCCTGGCCTCTACCAAGTAGATGCCGGTAACTCACCTCCTTCTCCCAAGTTATGACAATCAAATTATCTTCAGACACCACCTAATGCCCTCCAAACAGAGGAATTGTAACCCTAGAAGATTCTTCGGAAAGAGGCAGGGAGCATATAGACAAAGGCTACTTCTCAGAGGTTGTACTTGGCTGCTAGGGAACATTGGTGTTTGTAAGCTGGACAAACAGATCAGGTTGCCCCCCATTGAGAGCCGTGGGTAGATAAACAAAACTTGGCAGACTTTTGTTATTTTTTTGACATGATGGGAAATAACTGTCCTTGTAAAGAGTTTATTATAATACCTGATATTTCATCCTTTAACTACTTTCAGTTTTTTCACGCGAAGATCTCATGATTATATAGTTTTGAGGATAAAATATGTTTCTCTCTCTTTTTTAACACAGTATGCAAGCATTGAAAAAAATGGTGAATTTTTCATGTCTCCCAATGACTTCGTCACTCGATATTTGAACATTTTTGGAGAAAGCCAGCCTAATCCAAAAACTGTGGAACTTTTAAGTGGTGTGGTGGATCAGACTAAAGATGGGTATGTTTATTTTTAATTATTTAATTTTTTTGTTTGAAACAGCTTTCTGTTATTTTCATGATCTGGAAATCATTGTATACCTTCCATCTCTCAGCATTTTCTTGACCCATTGCAACAAATATATTATTTTAGATATACATCCTTAACATTTCAGTGTTCTCATTACAACTGGGGATTTGATATGTGCAATTTTTTTTTTTTTACATAGCTTAAAGAACTATTTGTAGTTTCACAACTATTGTAGTTGATGAATGTGAAGATATGTGCACGTTTGTAAGTTCTTTTCAAGGCAACTGTAAAACTTTTGAGTAAATATAAAATTTATCTATGAATATTAACTGTTTCATTTTCTTTCTGCTCAAAAAAACTTTTAAATCTCATGTGATTAAATGCTATGCCAGAATAATATGATGATTGCAAATCTCTAAGAAAGGTGTTCTGCCGAAGCTGGAAGAGAAAGACTGAACCATCCAAAATTCAAGAGGACACTTTGCAAAATACCTTTGGATTCTCCCTCCAGACCTCCCCCAACCCATCAGTCTTCTCTGTTTACATTTTTAAAGGGAGAATTACCTAATCTTTTTAAGATTACGCTTGGTTTTTACCATTAGTGTGGAATTTTGTGCCCAGACTCTGGCTGATGTGAACACCACCGTCCTCTAGTAGCCAAGTATAATTGGCAAGAACCTCCATCCAAGGTGGAATTCTTTGCTGGATAGGAAAATGTAAAGTCTTAGCAGGTGGAGAGACTGAGATATAATTCACTATAGTCCATGCAAGAAAATCTAGCTAAAACACAGAAATTCTGGTAGATACTTTTCTGAGCAACACCCCTGTGCTTATGATGCTAAGAAATGTGACCAGGCTGCATGCAACTCAGATTATTTGACTCAGTGTGAGATGAATTATTTTCTTGATAGGTTAAATTTTTTTGAACTACAAGAATGGAAAGAGTACAATGAATGTCCAAAATGTAACTTCACTTCGATTGACTGTTAACATTTTGCCACCTGTGAGCTTTCTTTTATCCATATGCTTTCTATACACAAGCATATGCAGGTAATTTCCTTTTTTGGCTAAATTGTGGACATTGCAACACTTTAGAATTTATCTTCTACAAATAAGCACATCCTCTTTCATAACCACCACACCATGTGTCATAATCATATTAAGAAGAGTTACTAGTCTTGTCAAACATCATCTAATATCCAGTCCACACTCAAGTATACCAGATCTCTCAACACACTCCCCACTTTAAGTGGCATTTTGTTTTTTGTTTTTAATCCAGAATCCAGTCAAGGTTGTTGTGTTACATCTAGTTGTTATAACTCTTTAGATCTAGAACATACCCTTTTATTGTTTGTTCATAACACTGACCTTTAAAATCCAGACCACTTATTTTCTTGAAGATCCCATGTTGTGGAGTTGTCTACTTGCTTCCCAATGACAGTTCATGTTAATTGTTTGGGTAAATAAGTTAGGAGAGATTCTGTACTTCCAATCATATCTCCTTTGGAGGCATGTTGTTTTTGCCTTGATGCTGCTTGGTGAACCACTGGTGAAGGTGGTGTCTGCCATATATTCCCATTGTATGGAAACCAATTTTATTTCATAATCCCTGGTTCCTTCTAATTAGAAATGGTACTTAGATATAAAGAAGTGGGTACTGACCTATTACTATTATTTTGACTTCAGTGAAGAATGGGGAAATATACTTTTAAAAAATCAAAAGTTCAAATCACATTTTCTATTTAAATTTAGAATAGAAGGATTTTTTAATTTGGTTTTGTCATCTTGGTGAACCATTTTTATTTCTAATGACATTAATACAGTTATGGGCATTAATTTTATGTAATTGATAATACCTTCTAGTATACTTTGCTGTTTTTTCTATCTTTACTGCCATGAACACATGCTTTTTCACATACAACCTATGAATTTTCAACCTTAAATGCATTAGATGCCAAGAAAGTAAGACATTTTATTAGTAACTTTTGATATTATATGATATGACATGAATTAAACTATATAATATAAGTATATTTTTTCCAAAGTTTATAACAAATCTGAAGTATTGGCTTTGTTTTCCCAGTTTCGCATGTGAGATAATTGAGGCATTCAGTAATCAAGCAGTTTGCTGCCAGAAGGTGACCAGGCTTTTCTGATTCCAACAACCTTGATCTTTTTATTGTTCTGACCTGCCTTTTCCCTCATAATCTCACAATCCTCTTTTAACTTGACATTTTCTTTCAGAATTTGTATTATCTTAAATTTCAGGTTATACTGTGACAGAGAAAACCTTAGATGGCCCAATTCTTTGCCTTATGACTAACTCATTTTTTCAGTTGCAAATACAGTATTAACAATAAATGCCTCATTCCAGAAGGGAAAATACCATTTATTATCTCACCATCACACAAATATTTTGAATTTTTTTGTTATCTTCCATGACTAGTTAACTTGCATCAGTAGTTTTAAGAATTTGAGATCATTGTAATAATTTTTAGAGCATATCAATCAATTTTAATGTTTCCTTCTGCTGTTCATATTAACAATGTTAGATAGCTTTGTCACTTTCTATCAAATTAATCTAACTATGAAATCATTCCCTTATAAAGTTATTTAAATTTTTAGTTTTTTACACTGGATAATATTGATCTGAATATCTTTATCCATTTGGTATTTTCCCTTTCTGTTTAAATACTTCCTTAGAAGAACTTAGAGAAGGATTCCTGGGACTAAAAGTAGAAATATTTTATGTTTTACTATACATATTGGATATTTCTTTTCAAAAAGAGCAAGCAAGTTGAAGAACACATCCGAGGCATTTACCCTTGTTGTGCTGGTAGCATAGGCCAGTGTTTGGGCTCATACTTGGCCCCTTCAGAAGTTCACTTGCCATTTTCTCTAAGCCTAACCCTGGTGCACAGCTCCTCAGTACTTCAAAATAGGTATAACCATACATCTGTCTCAATGTAAAACTGCAAATGCTTTCATTTCCCCTTCCTTTCCCTTTCTTTGGAAACATTTGTCAAGTTAACAAGTCACACATCATCCTCCCAAATCAACTACTGTTCCTTGAAAACTTTTCAGGACAGAAGCCACATGTTGGCCAATGGAAGTTCCACAGACACAGCAAACAATGGGAAAGCGCTGGTGTGGCCTCCATTCATCTGACCAGGCTCTTCTGCATTGTCATCTCCTACCCTGCCTGACTGAAGGGATTTGAGTCCATAACTTCATTAAAATTTGAAAAACTATTTGCAGATTGACAGCCTTAGGGTTTGAAAATATGGTAGCACTGCTGACCCAGTTGTCACAGTGAATTGGCAAGTTCTAGTTTTTTGATAGGTTTTGGTCTGCTAGCTATGCTTTCTTGAGTGCAAGGACCATTTCTGTATATTTGAGTATCTCCAGTGTCCAGTCCAATATCTGGTCTTTGTTTCATGTTAATTTAACTAGAATAATTCTTCTAAGAAGGACTTGTTATCCTTTTATGTTATGAAAGCCCAAGAGTATTTGGGGATGGACACTGTACTTCAAATTCTGGTTATTCACTATAGTAGGCTAAATAATGGCTACTGAAAGATAGTAAGTCATAATCCTTGTAAGTTGGAAATGTGATCTTATTTGGAAAATGTGTCTTTGCTGATGTGGTCAAATTAAGGATCTTGAGATGAAGAAATTACCCTGGTTATCTGTGCCTTAAATGCTATCATAGGTAGCAGAGGCAGAGAGAGATTTAACAGATATTGACAAGAGCAGGAGGCGGTGAGGGCATAGAGGAGTGATATGACCATTATCCAGGGGATATGTGGAAGAAGAAGCTGGAAGAGACAAGGAAAGACTGTCCCCTAAAGAACCTCCCTTTTGAGGGAGTACAGCTCTGCTGACAGCTTGATTTTGAATCTCTGTTCTCCAGGGTTGAGATAGAATGAACTTCTGTTGTGTTAAGCCATTCAATTTGTTACACAACCTTAGTAGCCTGTCACCACGTAGTTATTTTCTCTGGGGAATTAAAAAGCCTCTAGTTACAAAGAATTTGGGGGAGACAGGTAAATCAGTCTGAAAACAGCTGTTTTCCACTGGGAGCCTTTGACTAGATCCAGTCATTAGAGACCCCTGCTCCTCCATGAGGTTACTGCCCTGCCCAGCAATTTCAGCTCTGGGTAGAGTTGAGCTCAACTCCAGGCATGGAAGTTAAATACATGTGTGCTGCATGGACTCGGGGCAAAAGGCTAATTTTTTCCTGGAGCTCCCTTGGTTCTAATGTAGTAATTCATGAGATTGTGACTTGATTAGCCTCCCGTGCTGTCCAGTCAGTCATTCAGCACAGAATCCACTGTCTGTGCCTGATTGAAGGTCACATGGTGGGTGGAAATCACATAGTGCTTGCCCTCTTGGAGCTTCTAAATTTAATCAGAGCACCACAAATATATGTGAGCTGATGTGTAAAGTACAATGAAGGAAGGGCATGGTATGAGAGATAATGAAGGGGTTTCATGAGTTCTGGAAGGTCAAGAAGGATTCCCCTATGAGATTTGAGCTCTAGGAGTGTGTGTGTGGGCAAGGGGTGGTAGTAAAAGAGGGTGGGAGAGAGCAGACAGCATTGTAGACAGGCAACAGTGGTTGCAAAGGCCCTAGTCACATTCTGAAATGCAGAGACCAGTATGCCTAGAGCATGGAAAGTTCAGGGCATGATGGTGGAAGACAGAGGCGGAGGTCAGACTGTGTAGGAACTTAGATTTCATATTAAGGATTGGGGTCTTCATTTTACCATCCAGGGAGAGCTATCGTGGGTGATGCGAATCAGGGTACTGGACTGGCATGAGTTGACTATGCAACAACATTCCACTATTGATCATGGTTAATTTGACTGTTCCACCTTTCCCTTTGATTGTTATGTTGAGATTTCCCCATTTCATTGTTTTAATCAAGTTAGTAGTGGGCTTCATCAATTTATGGTTTCTTGAGGGAGATGAAAAGAGACTGCTCAGGAC